ACTGAGTCCTACAACATCCCATTCATTGAAAGAGAGTTCCCCAAATAATGCTAATAAGTAAGATTCAGTTCTATATACATATATATACATATATATACATATATAAACATATACATACATATATCTAGACACACATTACATATATATATATATATATATATATATATATATATATATATATATATATATATATATATATATATATTATATATATATATATATATATATATATATATATATTATAATATATTAATATATTATTATATATATAATATATATATATTATATATATATATATGTATATATATATATATATATATATATATATATATATATATATATATATATATATATATGCACAATACATATGAATATATATTTGCATATATATATATATATATATATATATATATATTATATATATATATATATGTATGTATGTATGTATGTATGTATGTATGTATGTATGTATGTATGTGTGTGTGTGTGTGTGTGTGTGTGTGTGTGTGTGTGTGTGTGTGGTGTGTGTGTGTGGTGTGTGTGTGCGTGTGCGTGTTGTGTGTGTGTGTGCGTGTTGTTTGTGTGTTGTGTGTGTGTGCGTGTGTGTGGTGTGTGTGTGTGTGGTGTGTGTGTGTGTGTGTTTGTGTGTGTGCAAAAAGTGGTGATGCCTCGCCAGACCTGGCTTGAAGAGATCTTGCCCTTCTTGCCCGGAAAGGTGGCTCACGTCAAACAAGCTGGACATAGTTAGGAAAGGGTAGGGGGGGAAGAAGGGGTTGATCTGGAATCGTTTGGCAAAGCGAGAGTGAGTGCTCTGGCTCTCTCTCCTCTCTCTCTCTCTCTCTCTCTCTCTCTCTCTCTCTCTCTCTCTCTCTCTCTCTCTCTCCTCACTCTCTCACTCCACTCACTCACTCACACACACATACACACACACACACTCACTCTGTGTGTAACATTTGTTGTCGTAAATAATGGATCATCTCAAATGGCACCTCTTGAGCTACCAAACTTTAATAAATGGCTTTGGACACTAAATTTCGAGGCTAAGAGGGTGTAAAGGCTTAAGTTTCAAGTCCCTTGTTTACCTTTGATTTTGTTTGACGCGTTCATGAATCGCGAAGCAAGGTGTGGTTGGGGTCAGTTTGAGTATGATGGGCCACTTGATTCCGCCTCTCGCAACCATATACTTATAGAAAGTCTTTTAATTTGCTATATTTATATTAGTTTAAAGTTTGAGATACAAATGAATTTAAAGTGTATTGTCAGTCAAACTAATTCATCATATTGTTTCTGAAACTGTTAGTGAAAATAAATGATGTGAAATGAAATGCGTAGAATGTGTGCATCAATATAATGATGGTGGGGTGTATAGGACACATTGCTATAATGCTGTGAAACTTGTACTATTAACATATTATTGACAGTGGATTTGTCATTTCCTAGCGACCCCCCTTCCTAGCTCACGCTTGCTCACTCACCCTGCGAAGGCCTGTCTTGCTTCACTCTACCCATGCCTAAGGGAATATTCCTTTACCCTTGACTCTACCTATTCTTATGCCTTTATTTGTCGCTTCAGCGGCTGATGTCCAACACCTTGTCAATGTTCCCGCTCCAAACTATTCAAGAAACCTATTACTTTCGATATCTCCTGCTCAATCAATCTTTAAATATAAATTTCGTTATCTTTTTAATGAAATAATTTTCCAAAAAACATTCACCAGAAGGATCTTATGATAACTGAAAGACCTTTAAACCCCAAACATAAGGAGGCGAAGGTAGAAGGATATAACAAGGTGTGGTTAAAGGTAATGAGGGACGTGGCAACAGGGTGATTTTAATGTAAGGCTTGATGAGTTTCACTATCAACATTTATAAGGTAGCGATAGTAATACCCTTACAAATAACAGTTCATATCAGTGGTTACAACTTGCCATGAAGACTGGCAAATAACATTATAGCATTATTTATATCATCTTCGTAGAACTGGCTAATTCCTGCAATTATTGTTTACATTCTGAAAAATGGTTTCAAGGGAGGCAGGGATCCTGGTTTTCCCACGAGGTAACATGCAACACACAGCCATGGACTTCAATTTGGGGGTATGCAGTCATTGTAGAAGTTTATTAATTAGTAATTACTATCATCTACATATACGTGTGTTAGTTGCAGTTGTTGTTTTTATCTATAACGTATGTTGGGAATAAGCGTTCTAACATAATCTTGTGCTCTATAATCTATATATTATATACTTATGTATGACAATGTTTTTTTGGGATGGAGGTGGCAAACAAAGACAACTCTGTTGAGAATATAACCAAAAGAGGGTGGATCATTGGTGAGTGGGAGTGTGGTGTTCCAACACAAGATGTTGCCATCAGCATTGGAGGGTCAACACGCATAGTCTAAAGGTGGATACTAAGTTGGCAGCAAGAAGGGATTTTGGAAGGAGAGGACGACCACGCATGACAACACCACAAAAAGACAAAGAAATCATTAGAACATCCACAGCGGGCCGCAAGAAAGCATCGTTAACTATCACGCGAGAAATGCATCTCCCTTGCACTCAACAGACAATCAAAAGTCGCCTGAGGGAGCACAAGATCAGCTGTCATGTTCTGGCGCTCAAATAAGAACTAAAGGAATAGCACCATGACACTCGTCTCGGCTTTGCTCTACAACATCTTGTTGATAATACTGATTACTGGAAAAATGTAATCTTTAGTAATGAAAATACTTAATGTCGGTGGAGGTCAGAGCAAGCATGTCTGGCGACGCATCGGCAGAAGATACGATGCTTGCAACATTCAGGACAGAGCCAGGAGTGGGAGGGTAGGAGTTAGTTACTGGGGCTGCATGTCGAGCTACGGCCTAGGGGAACTGGTAAGGGTGAACAGCACCTTGCCAGGGAATATATATTGCTATTAGAAGATGTGATGCTGCCAACAGTAAGAGCCATGGCAATCCCTGTCGGCGAATCCATCATTTTTGTCCAAGACCAAAGCCGCATACACACAACCCACATTGTGACCGAGTGGTGAAATTCAGGAAATGGACTGGCCTGTCAAAGGCTGTGATATTAACCCTATAGAGAATCTATGGCCGATATTGAAAGAAGAAATTAACATGGGACCAGAACACATATGCGATGCTATTGACTATTCAGTGAGAGAGGTATGGGAATCTGTGCGATGCAAACCATATATTTGTCAACCCGCCTCAATGAGGTATTTGATGCCTGCAATGGTTGGACCTGTTATCGACAAGGCTGTAACTTATACTGGTATTTGTATTTTTACATGCAATAGAATGCATGTAATGCAACCAATGAAATTACTTCCATATCTATTTATATATTTACATGCAATATGATATATGTCATGCACTCAATTAAATTGTTTCTCATATTATTTATTTTTATTTCACATGCAGTACAACATAAAATACATCCAACTGAATTGTTACCCTTGTCAAAAACAAATATTGGTAATTCAACTAAGTTGACATAAATACAAATCCTATACTAGATTAGGATATTCTAATGTCTTCTTAGCATAGAATAAAAGACTAAAAGAGGGGAAAGCTGCTTAGGATAACACAGAGCCATATGTCAGCATAATATAATGCAAACCAAGGAAATTTCCGTTGGGCGAATATTAATATGAATAATCAGTTCAAACATCTTGTTTTTTTATATAGAAAACATGATAAGGAAATAATATAAAATGATGAGATACGATTTTATGATGATTATTTTCAAAATGATATATGATCGCTTATTTCATAAAGCAGGTCTCAAATATATCCATCAGATTAACAACAAACCAGGAATAAAAT